AAACTATTGGTATTGCCTGCTGCCTTGCATGCAAAAGTCATACACAAGATCTCAGAAAATCTGTTTGTGCTCAAAGTATAGATTGGGAATGACTCTCAGCTACTACCACAACAACCGTTAGCTCAGTAAGTGTAAAGTTGGCTCAGTTAGGACCAACTTTATATCGGCTAATGTTGATTAGCTGTGGCAGCACCTGAAATCAGGTTGACTCAAACGTTATTTACACATACTTTCTTAGAGTTTGGATTAGGGGGTGGGGGCACGGGAGGTGGTGCTTGGTGTTTGTGTGGGGGCCAGCAGTACACTCGTGGATTCATTCAATTGTTCCCTGTTGGACTCGATGGCAGCTTTTCACACTAAATTTCATACATCCATTATCTTTACCCGCTTCTTCCTTTTTGGGTTGTGGGGGTCACTGGTGCACATGTCCAGCACCCGGAGAAAACCCACGCATGCCGGAGAGAACATGCAAACTCCATCCAGAAAGGCCCCTGGACTGGGATTTGAACTGTGGAACTGCTCACTGAGTGGCAGCAGCTCTACCAGTTGTGCCACCATGCTGCCCACAATCTCTTACCTTCCTCCAGTATCTGCTGGAGAAAGGAATCATCCGCCCCTGACTCAGAAAAGAAAAGCAGGTCAAAGAAAATGGATGGATGCTTGACTTTGAAACGCCCCTTGAATGATCTTGAAACAGAAGCTGGAAGGAGGGAAGTCTGAGGATCTATAGGGGGTTGCGATGTGACACGGTTCTGTATAATTGCCGGGAGGAATCAATGCATCTCAGTCACATTTCCTAGAATGTGAACACAAATGACAACAAGGCCAGCTATGTACTATTTTAAAACTTCTAATTGTATATCTTGATTGTAGAGGTCTTTGACTGTTGACCACAAAAAATAAACTCTACCAGAGTCCATTTAAGCCCATTTCTCTTTGCTGTTCTCTTTACATTTCAATTTGTTATCCATTTTAAACTGGTCCAGACAAACAACTACCATTACAGTCTTTAAGTTCATTGTTCATCCCTTCCCCAATTTAGCAGAACCAAACAGTAGGGTTATATCATGCATTTCTTCCACAGCTGTTCAGGACATTTCATACCAGCTAAACATTCACCTGGAACTCTCACCTTCTGGGAGTAGATATAGGGCTCTAAGATGCAGATAAACAATTGTATTATGTTTTTAATTTTTGTCTTTGTTAGACTGTGCTTGTCAAATAAGCGTTGCGCTGTAAAAATGAATTTCCCCCATGATAACAATAAAGTCTAATGTCTAAGTCCTGTTGTGCATGGTGCAGTCCTAAAACTTTGTCTCACTGACTCATCATGCTTGTTTGAATATTATGACCTAAATTTAACTCTTAATTTAGATTTGGATCTTGTCTAGCTATCATATAATTCAGCATGGGCGGCACAGTGGATCAGTTGAAAGAGCTGTCGCCTCGCAGCGCGAAGGTTGCCGGTTCAAACCCTGGTTCAGAACATTTCTGGGTGGAGTTTGTATGTTCTCTCTGTGCATGCGTGGGTTTTCTCCGGGTATTCCGGTTTCCTCCCAAAGACTAAGAAAATGCATGTTAGACTGACTGGTGACTCTAAATTGTCTCTAGGTGTGGGTGAGAGAGTGAATGGTTGTCTCTGTGTCCCTGTGATGGACTGGGTACCTGTCCTGTCCACCGCATCTCACACAGTGATAGCTGGACCTGGACACCAGTGACCCCCATGACCCCAAAAAAGGAAGAATCGGGTAAAGATGATGGATGGATAATTAAACGTTGAATAATTTGTGTACTAAGTCTTTTGTATTTTTACTGTGCAAAAGTCTTGTTTATTCATCATATCAGTGTAGAAATTGAGAAAATGCACAACTCAAAACCTACAAACTCAAACAGGCCTGACTGCTAGAACTACATCAGGTCGGCGTTAACATGTTTGAAACTTGATCTTAAAGAGGACGTTAACGAAGAGAGCAACCTCAACGAACTTGGCCGTAAACTCTCTGAAGGTGAAAACAAATGACAACACTTTCCCAGAAGCGCCACTCCGAGTGCATGTAAAAGCCCCGACATATGCCAGTGCAGATGACTGGATTAGGTTTTTTGCTCAGGTGACATATCGCTTTGTTGTTTTCCACACTAGGTGAACTTCACAAGTTCCTCAAATGCCTCAGTTAGAAGAAAACACCTTTTGTCTGGGTTAAATGCAAACCCATCTGTTGTCAATTCTCCCCATAGTCTCAGTCCCTCTCTCTTCTTCCCTTCTCTTTCTGTCTCTCTCCTCCTCTCTCCGTCAGTTGTGATTGGCTAGTCCACTCTCCCTGCGTTTTGCTGGTACAAATCACCGCTGGGGGTGGAGATAAGTGCAGCCTGCTGTCTAATACCAAGGGACACTGCTATAAAAACTCTGCTGCTCACAACTGCACAGTTGCTTCCCCGCTGTCACTGACAAATCAGGCACTAACTTTGGATTTTTAAGATTCCATCATGTGCAAAGGTCTTGCGACACTCCCTGCGACATGCTTGAAAAGGTAAGGCTAATTAATGTAGTTTGAGCAATAGAAGGGGATGTCAGTCTTTGCAGCAAACAATTATATAAAATGTTTTTGTCTTTATATCTTACACTGAAATAATTCAAAATCTGTTTGTAACTAATTTTATGCACGAAGAACCATCTGCTAACATCTTGTTCAGTAAAGCTAATTGTCAAACGTGTAAGACTTTGTCTTGATATCTTCGATGCAAACTGACTGAAAATGTGTTTGTCTACAGTGCAAAGGACATCAAGCACAAAATAAGCTTCTTACTGCAGAAGCCTGAACCTCAAGCAGTCGACCAGAGGGAGATAAAGGAGAGAAGTGCCACCGCTGCGGCAAAGAGGTCAGAAAATTTGCTTCCCGTTTGTTTTTAAAGATCTCAAAAAGAGACATTTGTGATATTTATACCAACTCTGATTAAGTCAAACTAAATGTTCTGACATGTAGCACTGAAGAGGCTTTGTTGTGATTTTCTGGAGGAGGTTTAGAGATGAATACATGAGATATGATGGTGGTGGGTTTGTCAGAAACTTATGGATTCGTGAGATTTAAGTTTTATTCTGAAACGACTGTAGAGTTAGTTCACTTTTTAATATCTCGGATGTTTTTGTTGCTCATGGCAGATGTTTGTATTGATCTAAAGAATGATGGTTTAATTGCACTTTTACACAGAACATGTGCCTCTAAAAATAACCTAAAATGACAAATAATCAGACCATAAGTTATGATTAACTTATGGGTGAAAATGAGTAAAAACTCTGAGTCTGCTCAATTCATTTTGTTTTAGGAAAGATGAGGAGGTGATGAGGCTGTTGCTCCCAGACAGGAAGCATTTTTTACAGAAAGAGAAACGGATCATTTCCTGCCTGACGCAACAGCCATTAATTCACTCTCTGAAATCATTTATAGCTCCTTTAATTGATGCAACTGTTTTGGGCGCACTGATGTCGTGACTAATGCTGTTTTTGTCTGAGATCTAAATTTAAACCTGGGCGTGTGCGGGAAGAGCAGGTTTTGTTTTGGCCCCGGTCTGCCTGCAGGTTATGTTCCCACGGGACGCCTGTAATTGTTCTTTATGAGAAGGTGATGGTGGTGACCTTTGATTTTTAGTTATAATCCATCCAGTCACAGGGATCAATAGTCTGGCTATGCATTCTTGTATGCACATAGCGTTTTCTACAGTTTTTTATTTTATTTTATGTTTCTGAGGCTGTGAAATCTTCAAGAAAGCATTATTACGTTTTAAAGGTCAGATGACGCATGCCAATGTTATCAGAAATGTCAACATAGATCATAGAGATGGTGCAGCTGGGTTCACAATGAGTCACTTGTTTTACTATAATAAAACACTCCTCTGTCGTTTGATGACTGTTTGGAGGTAAATTTGGAAAACAAAAAAAGAAAAAATAAAGACTGCGTCTCAGTCTTCATTATTTATTCAAAAGTATTTAATCAGCACAATGGAAACACAGTTTGATGCAAAATTCTTGAAATAAAGTTCTTAAAAGATGACAAAAAAATGCAATATTCATAGTTAAAATGCTACCTTTGTCATTGGTTTAGGCTGCCGGATACAACGGATGTGGAGAAATGGAAGGAGTCATTCAGCCATGTGATGAGCAATGAAAGTAAGTGACATCATAATTATACATTAAAAATAGTGAATCTCTCTTGGAACGAGGCAAAGTGGACGTTTAAATATAACGCAGCCGAGCAGAACTTTGACTGATCCTAAGTGTAATTGGTTCTGACAGACTGGCAGATGCTTGACTCATTAGTTCTCAGCAGCGCTGTTGGTCTCTCTGGGGTTAGAAAAGGCAAAACTGGACAAAATGCAATTTCTTGTATGACGTGAAAACAGCACGTACATGGGAATATTACCCTCTCATAGACACTATTCTCACTTATGGTAGCAAATGAAGTGTATGATGACAATTTAATGTCCACTGTATATAAACATATACACATATATACATATATACATATACA